TGTGCATGGACGAGTGTGTGTGTGTGTGTGTGTGTGTGTGTGAGAGTGAGTGTATGTGCATGCACGAGTGTGTGTATTTGTGTGTGTGTGTGTGAGAGTGAGTGCATGCGTGCTAGTGTTGGGTCGTTCTTGAACGAATCTTTAATGTAATTCAGTGTTATGGAAAATAACCATTATGACAGAAATTCACACATTTATAAACTGTAAGAAGTAAAAAGCTACAATTTGAGACCAGAAACGCATCACGTAACTGTAAGAGTAAATCATAATTATAATAATGATGATGATAATAATAATAATAACTATGCACCCGTTTGTAAGGAAGCTTGTAAATGAACTCATTTCTCTCTCCAATGCTGTCACGTCACGTGACAAAAGAACGAACGATTCGAAAGACTCGAGAGAAGAACTAATCAATTCTTAATCAGAGTGTGCTGCGTGGAAGAAAATCTGTCTTTATTCAAAACTGGTTTGACAAAGGTGTAAGTTTTGTTTTAGATTTGTTAAAAAAGGATGGTAACTTCTGAATTTTCAGAAGTCTTTGAAGTGGATACCTCCCCTAGAGTGTGTGAATGGGTTATTAATTCTATTTCACCTAAACTGCTACATTCGGTCAGGGATTGTTACAGATCTTCAAAATGTGAAACGCCAAACATTAGTATTGGAGGTCTGGAGCTTTCTAATGTTAAATGTAACAATTTCTGGATTAGAAAAATCCTTATTAAGAAGTTTAGCTGTCATCCTGAAGCATGTTATAAGTGGAAAATAAATGGCCCTTTTCTTTCTACTGTTAAAATATGGGCCGGTATTAACACATTCTGTTACCTAACCAGATGAAAGAACTTTATTATAAATAGACTTTATAGACTCTTCACATGTGCTATCCTGTAATGCTTTACATCTCTTCACAATGCACATTCTGTCATTCTAGTTTGGAAACAATATCACACTTATGTTTTGAATGCGAATATGCAAAGGATTTTTGGAAAGAAATATCTTGGCTTGTTTTCTCGGCTTACAACAAACTTTTTAGTTTTGAGGTAATTAATGCACTATTTTTGATTTGGGAATCAGGATCAAAGGAGCTGGACGATATCTTAAAACTGTGAACTCTTTGTGGCCTGTTTCATCTTCACAAATGTAAAGTTACTGAGTGTGCGCCCGATCTGAGGATGTTCTGGATCTCTCTGCGCATCACTTCATAAGAAAGCTGCTAAACTACTGTACTGATGGAGAAATATTGACTTTGATGTAAGCGTTACCTCCGGTGTATTCTTTGAAGTTGACATTTTATGTGTAATTTTCCATTTAAGTTATTTTTTATTTTAATTTATTTATGATTTATTTAAAAAAAAGCATCTTCACAAACGTACAGCTACTGAGTGTGTGCCCGATCTGAGGATGTTCTGGATCTCTCTGCGCATCACTTCATAAGAGAGCTGCTGAAGCTACTGTACTGATGGAGAAATATTGACTTTGATGTAAGCGTTACCTCCGGTGTATTCTTTGAAGTTGACATTGTATGTGTAATATTCCATTTAAATTCTTTTTTTATTTTAATATATTTATGATTTATTTATTTAAAAAAAAAAAGATGGTTAACTTTTTATTTATTTGTTTTTGTTCTGTTTATATTTCATGTTTATTATTCTTTATGTATTTATTGTTTTGTGTTCTGGGTGTGTGTATTTTATTGCTATGACTGGATCCCCTGTGAATGTTACATCTTCAATAAAAATAAAAAAAGAACTAATCAATTCTCTTCCCGGCTCAGGCTGCTTTGGTTAAGCTTATGCTGCTGTCACATGATGAAGGAACGATTCGACTCGTCAGATAAGAGCTGAGGTGAGCTGATCACAGACTGAAGACCCAGCTAAACAATGAATTCATCTTTTCTGTTTCTTATAGCAGTTTTGTATTGTTTGTAGTAATAGTGTGATCAACGTTTGCGTTAGTAGACGTGTTAGGGAAGTAACACGTAACATTTTAATTGTATTTTGCTAAAATGAACGAAATGACTCGAAAAAAGATTTAGCTGAATATACACATTTAAAAATAATAAAATGACCAAAAAATTGTTTTAACTAAAATTAACATGAAAATATAAAAACTAATTCAAAATATTTATAAAAACAATATTATAGTAAATTGACACTGCTGCTGTTGAACAGATTGGTTGTTTCTGTGCTTTGTTCAGGTCCAGGCCCCGCTCTCGCTCCCGATCCGGCTCGGCTTCCAGGAACAGGGGACACAGTTATGCTGCTGCGCTTGACCTGTGTTTGTGTTGATGGAGACCTTCTGTTTCTTTAGGTCTGGATCAGTCAGGAGATCCAAATCTGGCTCTCCGGCTAGGAGGTGAGAATATACACACACTCTCTCTCTCACACACACACACACACACACACACAGGTTTGTTTTTATGGTTTATGGGGACTCTCCATAGGCGTAATGGTTTTTATACTGTACAGACCGTATATCTGTGCTTTGTTCAGGTCCAGGCCCCGCTCTCGCTCCCGATCCGGCTCGGCTCCCAGGAGCAGGGGACACAGTTATGCTGCTGCGCTTGACCTGTGTTTGTGTTGATGGAGACCTTCTGTTTCTTTAGGTCTGGATCAGTCAGGAGATCCAAATCTGGCTCTCCGGCTAGGAGGTGAGAATATACACGCACTCTCTCTCACACACACACACACACACACACACACACACACACACACTCGCTCTTACTCTTTCTGGTGCTTCTC